GTACTATACATATATATGGTAACTGTTTTAGATGGCAGTCTAAATTAGTTTTGAACTTTTTCACTGAGATTTACTATATTGTCTAGCAAAGCATTCCATGCTTTTGCTACATGGTTGTTAAAAAAGTTATATCGGACTTGACAGTTTTTGTTGATTTCACGATGGTACCGGATGCGAAAGCCATAGCTGGGGGAATTGGATTAATAAACCAGTTAACTAAAACAATTTTATTCTCTAATTTAAATTTTTGAATAAGGTCCAATTGTTTTCTTCGTTTGCATAGAGAAGTGAGACCAAGTTTGATACATCTTTATTTGTAATCAAAAGGTTTCATTTCTTGCGGTACTTTTGTAACACGCCGTTGAATGCTTTCAATTACAGAAATGTCCTTTTCTAAATAAGGACACCAAACGGTAATGGAAAATTCTAAAAGTAGACGTATATAAGTTTTATATAGCTTTTTCTAGAGTTGCGCATCACTGCTTATGAAGCAGTGTTTTAGGATACCAAGCATTTTGTTAGCCTTGACTGCAGCAATAATTGTTTCGGAAATTTTGCTCTAGGTCATTGGAAACTAAAACGCCAAGGTCTTTTTCTGATAAGATTGATTCAAGTTGAATTCTATTGCTTGAGCCGCTGTCATCAATAAAGTATTGGTGTTAAACGGATTTGGATTGGTTGAAATGCATTATTTTACATTTCCTAATATTTATTTCCATAAGCCATTCTTGAACCCAATTAACAATGTTGTCAATGTCCGCTTGCAGATAAAATTTTTGTTTTTCAGTGCTGACCACACTAAGGTATTTTGTGTCGTCTGTATACATTTTGCATATATTTTTGCTTCTAATTTGTTTTGGTTAATCATTAATGAAAATAGTAAAAAGCGTTGGACGAAGAACGGAGCCTTGAGGAACGCCACTGGTAACTTTTTCCCATTCCGATATTAGATTTTCAAGTTAGACACGTTGAGTACAATTTGAAAAAACGCTTTAATCCAGTTTAAAATTTTACCTTCAATTCCATAGAATTTCAGCTTATGTAGCAGTCTAGTGTGAGGAACTTTGTAGCGAAATCTAGAAAAACAATGTGAGCAAGAAGCTTACGTGATTTATTGTAGATTAAAAAATCCATAGTCTCAAGTAATTTAGTAACACAAGATTTTTTGTTTATGAAACTATGCTGACAATTTGGTATAAGATTTTAAGAAAATGTTGCATTATCTTATTTTTAACTATTTTCTCCATTATTTTTGCATGGCACAGAAGTAATGAAAATGGGTCTGTAATTTTTAGGATTCATTTTAGAACCTCCTTTGAACAAAGGAGTCACATTTGCTACCAGCCATGCATTCGGTAACATGCCTTGTTTTATTGATTTTTGGTAAATCATGGCTAGTGGAGTTGCTATTGTGTTAGAGCATGTCTTAAATACATAAGAACTTATCTGATCTTCACCTATAGATTTAAAACCATCAAGAATGACGAGGTGACTTCGAACAGACTCATAATTAAAGGAGATGTAAGGAAGTTATACAGCTGTTCGTTTAGTAAAAAGAGGTAAAATTTGATTGTGAGGTTCAATGGTAAAGACAGATTAAAACTATTTGTTTAGTGTGTTGGCAATAAAACCTTGGTCGTTACTAATTTTACCATTCATAGATTGTAATGACACAATCTGTTTGCTTACAGTGGGTTTGCTATAAATATAAGCAAAAAAAATTTTTCGGGTTTTTCTTGTCATTAGATAAATTAATTTCATAGGTACAAATTGCATCACGAGTTGCTTTTTTTACCAGATATTGAGTTTGTTTGTATTGGTTAACAAGAGGAATGGTTTTCCATTTGCTGTTAACGTTAAGAAACCACAGCTTTCTCTTGTGTTTAATTAAGTATAACAGTTCACTGGTTATTGATGGTAACTTGCGTTTTATTTTTTTAAAAGTAACGAAAGAGATGAAATTTTGGCAGCATGTCTTGTAAATATTACACAAAAGTTGGTAGCATTTAACTGTGTCTAAATTGTCAAAAAGCCTTTCACATTCCAAATTGGAAAATTAATCATTAAATGCATTGTAATCCCATTTATTGTAAGCAAATTTAGATCATCTGGAGAGATTGTTGCTGATAGTAGCATTAGATAAAAGATACTGCCAGGCAAAAGTGCAGCAATCTTGTGATTTATTTTCTAGAGGTGGAACAAGATGGATTCGCTGATTATCAGGTCGAGAGTATTTTTTGAAAAACCATTGGATTGTGTTAGAATTGGTTTGGTTTCATGTTAATAGAGGTGGAATTCAAAAATAATATTAGTAAATTTGGCGTCCAAACTGGTTTCACCGCTTGTTGTATTTTTCCAACCTTTTTGTTGATGTTTGCAAAGTTAAAATCCCCAGTAAAAATAAGGCCTTGTTAATTTTTTTTAAGGGATTTTGAATATGAAATGGATCTAGTAGTTTTGTTGAAGGCTGATATGCTGCTAATTGGTGGGCGATAAATGCATTCTATAAAAAGAGATTCTTTATTTAATATAAGTTCAAGCCAGAGTTTTCTAAATGTTTAATTCATTTATGCAATTTATATTTTGTGCATTCACTTATGCCATAGTTTTTTTTTACATATATTGCAATACCACCACTATGAGTAGGTCAATCTTTTCTTTAAATATTGTATTTAGGAAAAGAAGGTGCTAAAAATCCATTAAACCACATTTCTGTAATAAATATAACATCATATTCAAAATTGAGCAGCTGAAAAAAGCTCTTGTAGTTTTTTGTGGTTCAATGATGTTGCATTAGTATAAAAACAGTTTAGATTACTGACAGATGATGTTTTTTTAGTTGTTGGGTGCGTAGCTGATAGTTTATATAATTTGGAGGGCATTGCTCTGATTGTTTATGGTTGATGTGGATAATTGAAAAAATTTATCAGTTTTAACTTTTCTTGCATCTCCGGCTGTTTTTTTGTCCACGAAGAGATGCTTATCGACTCCACGAATTGAGATTGTTTTGGTGACGTTGATACAGCGAACGGTATCTCGCTGTATCAACGTCACCAAAACAGGAAAAAAGCGGACAATATATTGAAAGGGCTTATCAAGTTTTAGATTCATTTGAGCTGTTCATTCAATTTTTTTTTCAGCATATAGCTTATAGAAGTTAGCTTGCTCTGATGGAGTACGATCAGGTCGGATAAAGATTTCTTTATATTTTGTGTTACATAACTTTTTTGCTGAGAAGATTACCTTGTTACAAATATCTATTGAGTCAAATTCTACTATAATAAGAGCAGGAAGGTTAGTTTTTATAAAATGTGCAAATGTACGGCTTAAACTAGTCAGACGATTAATAGATTTTATATTTACAGGTAGATTGATTGCCTGGAATGTATCACTAACAATACTTGTGTCTTCAATTGAACGTTCTTCAGGAGAACTTATATGTTTTGCACTCCAATAAACGCTACTTTAGTAGCTCTATTAGCTTGCATATAGAGCTATGAAATATATTTTTATTATTATTTGCTTATTAACACAAATACTGGAAGAAGTTAGATGTGTTTTTTTTTCATATATATATATATATATATATATATATATATATATATATATATATATATATATATATATATATATATATATATATATATATATAATCCATTTATTTAACTTTAAAATTAAAATTTAAAAAATTAGTTATAATTCAGAAAATAAATTTCCAAGTCACTCAAACAGCAAAAAAACAAAAAACAAACGTTAAATTATGTTTTAAGGTTAGTTAAGAAAAGATTCATCGAGAAACAGTTGTCTTGATAAAAGGTCATTAATATAAACTAAGAAAATCAAGGTATAGAAATTTGTATTTGCTATTGACTCTTCAAAACTGCACCACGTTCCCGTTACTATGTTAAAAATATTTGATGCAACCTCTAAGTTATTGCAAAATATTCTAACTACACGCGTATGTGCTAAATTTTAACTACACACGTAGTTAAAATTTAGCAGTCAGCAAATGGGCAAATGCCCATTTGTCCCCACAATAATTTCAGGGCCCCTTTATCTAGCACTGCCCCAATATAATTTTTGTTCTTACGGGCCTGCGCATATTATTTAAATCGCCAAATTCAACCAAAATCTTTTAACGTTTTTAACTTTTTTTTTAACGTTTTAACTTTTTCTCCAAGTGTTAGCAATCGTGATCCACGTTTTGCTAAAAATTAGAATATATTATTGCGCAAGCCACATACGGCTTGAAACAAAATCATACCATATTATATTCTCTACTTTTTAATGTTACATCCTGCGTGCATCAATCTTGCTGGTCAGATAGTAAATTGATTCACAAACGCCAATTACCAAACATGTTAATAATTTTAATATTTGTAACATTAAAAAAATGACTGACTAAGGAAAACTTTCAGGCACTAAAAAAAAGATGAAGAAAAGCGGATAAAAAATGAGAACTAATCTGAACGGTTTGTTGAAAACGATTTATCAAATAAAAACTCAAAAATTTGAAACAGTTAATACATTAATTTCAAATTCAGAAAAAGTTAAGAGCACAAAGAAAACGTTTAATACTTAAAATAATAGATTTGAAATAAAAATGTGGATCAAAACAGATTATTCAGACTCCTCAAGGAACAAATTACCAATAAGTAAAAAAAAAATTAAAAGGTCATTTATTTTAAACATTATAACCTCTAAAGTAAAATAGCTTGTTCTCATTTTCCAGTAATTTTTTTTAATTATAATTTTTTTTTTTGGCAATAGTTGTTACCGGCAAAATGTATTGAAACCAGGTACAAGGCAGTAAATGAACTTATTTTAAAAATAATTTTGAATGATTCGTTAAAATCAATGCCTTTTACTTATTAAATAAATGTGTTTGTGATTTTTATTTTAAATGCATTATTTAATATTCATCATTCTGTTTTCTAAATGGACAAGATTTGTTTGTCAACTACCAGACTTTTTTAAATAGGTTTTGAAATTTGTTTAAATGAATGAAAGCGCTTTAGATGATATGACGAAATAAAAGAATGCATAAAGAAACACTTTAAACTTGCTACAATAACTATAACTTATAGCTCAACTTTGTCTAACATGTGTATACACTTTTTTTTTTCAATAAATGTATTTTTTAATTCATAAAGTTTGTTTTAACATTGTTGTGAATAAGTTTGTTTAATAAATAGTAAATGAGTACTTTTTTTTTACGACAATTATAAAGAGGCAGCCATAATCACAACGGGTCATCATATAAACCTACTTAATAATTATATTTGTAATATTGCAGCAGATCTGATATAAAGAAGATGTTTTAAACCTGAATTATTACATGTATCTACTTAATCTTGCTTGCAATATTTCCACTCTGTGCTATTAAAGTCTCGCCTAAGAAAATCTTTATGCGAAAATCATGCGTAAACTTTATCGGTAGCGCCAACGAGACAATAATTTTAAATAAACCTAAATTTCGTATACTTTAGAAAACTGAGCATGTCTATCAATGAAGAGAATAAAAGCAAACCTACATCTGTCCAAAAAAAAACAATCAAAGTTATAAGTAAGCGAGATAAAGATGAGTATCCACGCGCTGAAATAAAGGACGGAAAATATGTGTTACCCTGGAAAACAGATGAAGTGGCACCTGACGTTTGGAATCACCTAAAATCAATATTTTCACTTGATAGCAGCGAAGTACCAAAAGTAGAAGTGTGTAATAATTATATATATATTTTTAATTATTTTTTCAATTTTCTTATTTTAATGTGGTTTTTTAAAGTTTTGTTGTATTAGCCTTCATAATCATTATATGGTTCTTTTTGCCTGCAAATTGTTCTATCATTCTATTTGATTACATATTTTTAAGATTTCCTTTTTTTAGGCTTGCATAATTAGCATTTTCTTTAAGCTTGCATACTTAGCATTTTTTGCATAAATAGCATTGTAAAGTGCTACTAATAAAATAGTTTATTAAATAGTTGAAAGTGTTTCTTTTCAATTACTTTGAAGTTATAATAAAATATAGTTATAATGAACATTATTATAATTGAAAATATTATTGTAATAGTTACCTACACAATAATAATAATTCTTGGTTGTATATAAGTTATGGGTACACATATTTTATATTTTTAACCTAATTAGTAATAACGATTTTTTGTCAACATACTATCATTTTGATGTAGCAATTGTAACAAACTATGGTTTTGTTACAATTATTTTTGTTGTTTTGGTAGAAATTGAATGAAGTGCCCTTAATGCAACTTTCAAAACCTGATCCTCAGCTCATTGCAAACCCACCTGAAAATGGTATTCGTGTAACATGGTTAGGTCATGCAACTGCTTTATTTCAAATGGACAGTGTAAACATATTGATAAATCCTAATTTTAAAGCAAAAAGCACGAAACGGTATCGACCACCTGTTTACACTGTGGAACAATTACCTCGTATCGATTGTGTATTTATTACGAATACCCATGTTGGTTATTTGGACTTATCTTCAATAAAACAGCTCATCGATCGTTTTGGCGAGATGCTTTTGTGGTACGTGCCTATGGGTATGTGTGATTGGATGACAAAAGCTGGTTGTGTCAACATCGTAGAGATGGACTGGTGGAATGAAGATGAAATTCATTTTATTGATCAGAGTACTGTAAGTAATCAATTTTTTATACAATTTTATATAAATCATCTAGCATCTTTTTGCTTTGTTTTGATGGTTAATATGCTTGAGCAGGGGGTCATCCAGAAAACAAAATCTTCAGACTAGAACTAGTTGCGGCAGTATTTTCTGAAGATTTATTAATATAAAATGTTTATAAAAAATTTTTTTTGATCAAAATAAATATGAAGTTTGAAATTCAGAACTTTTATAAGAAATTTAAAGAAACAAAAAATGAATTATATTTTGTTGTTATATTTTTAATAATTGTTTTTATTAGTAATTTATTAAGTTATTTAATTTAATTAACGTTTCTGCAAATCATTTAATAAAAAAAAAAAACAAAAAAAAAAAACATAATCTATGAATCAAGATGATGAGGCACAAAGTTTTGTTTTAATAACTATGCTTCATAGGAATTTAACAAAAAAATACAAAAGATATTCTTGTTTTCAAATATAATTGGTGTGGTTTATACATAAGTACAAATATTTCATTAGTGATAGTTAATTAACCTTGCTGGTACAGATTCTATTGACTTGAAAATTTAGTTAAAAAACTACGACAGATAAAAACACATTGTAGCATTCACCACTCCTCACTAAAAAACACGTTTTGACTGTTTTTTCATGTTTTGATCGAAAATTCCTATTCATAGGTTTGCTACCTTAAACTACTTTAGAGTGGGTTTTTTTTATTAACAACATAAGAAAATATTTTTTATTGGTTAAGCTCACAAAACTTAATTGTGTATGAGCCCAATTTAAAGTTATATTATAATTTTAAATTAAAAAGTATTATTTTCAAACATAAAATTGTTGAGAATTTTAAAAAATAATTTTTTTCTCCAAAAACCTTGTGTAGAACTTATGCCAGACTTTACTAAAATAGGATTCAAAAATTTTTGACAATACTCCTAGCTTAGTTCTATGCATTAAATTTAAAACTTGCTCTAAATTGAGTTTATAAATATTTAAAATACAAGAATATGCAAAAGACGTTTTGTTTTATAGGCTCAAAATGCAAATTGAAATGCATGATTTTGTAAAGCTTTTTAGTTTTGTAAGATTGGCACTTAACTAAAGATGCTTCACTTACCTAAAGATGCTTCAGCTACTATGAGCAACTATGAATAAAAGCAAGATATAAATATTTTGTCAAAAAATTTTCAGAAAGCATTAAATTTTGTCATGGTATTCGGGAAATAATCTTTTGGGACAACAACAGCACCAATATTTAAAGTTTATTGTAAATACATGTCTGCAAATAAACTTAATTTCACATAATAACCTCAGTATTGACAAAACATTTTGCGTTATTCATTTATATAATTAACAAAACGACCAAAAATATTATATGTTAGTTAGACAACAAGCTGATTTAAAAAATTAAAATCTATATTTCGCGTTGAGTTTATAAAAATTTCAAAACATTCAAATCAAGCCTAGTTTACGTCATAAACCTAAAACTATTTTGTTCCTTCTAATTTTTAAATAACACTTTTGTGGAAAATAGGTATAATATATAAAAATTGTTTACAGGGGTTTCAATATTCTTTGGAATAGTGTTAAAGTTTTGCAAAAAAAAAAAAATTTAATCTACGAAAAGAAGTAAAATATTAATATAACTCGTTAAAAATGTTTACATTAATAATAAATGTGGCTTGTCTGCATTAAAAATAAATGTGACTTTTCAAAAATGTGTCCAGTGACTACATTTAAAATGTCATCCGTAAAAACAGCACAAAAAAGTTAAACTAAAATAAGTCCAAAATAAAAAAAAATTTATAAAGTACATGCCAGTTAAATTTAAGAGTCTAATATAAGATAACATTTTCAGATAACACGTAAATGTTAAAGTAAGCTTTTATTGTTGTTCAATTTCTTTTTAAAGAAAGATAACGAAGAAGAAACAAAAACTACTGTGTTTAACATTGCATGTACGCCATCACAAAGTTATCACAACCGTAGTTTTGATGATGACAATGCAGTATTGTGGTGCAGTTGGGTCATTCGTAGTCCTCGTTATAAAATTTTTATATCAGGATCAACTGGTTATGCTAACGTATTTCAATGTATTGGTAAGAAATACGGACCATTCCACATGGCTGCACTACCTATCGGTGGTTATGATCCAAAATCTAGAAATGGTTATAGCAACCTTACACCTGAACAGGCTATACAAGTTCATAAAGATATTTTTGCAGTGTGCTCATTGGCATTATCTTGGGGAACATTTACATTTAGCAATGAGGTAAATTATGATTAATTAATATAATTATTCTATAATAGTCTACTGTAAAATATTTTAAGTACACAACAAGTTACTAAATGAAAAGTCTTAGATAACTCAAAATGAGATATGATATATAATGTTCAAATTATTTTATATTTTTAAGGTATATTAAAAATATCTAAAACAACAACTTGTTAAAGTGTCATTGCAAAACTTTGGTTGCTATTATTTTTGTAAAAAGTTTATTATTCCTTTGAGCTGATAGCAAATATTAGTTTTTTAAAAAAGCAACTGTATTGGATTTGCATTTGGACCAACCGCATTTCGCGCTTGCGTAATTACATCACATATGCAATAGAATCCTGAGGAAAAAACCAGCATTTTTTGGTCTTTGAGATAGCTAACCTTTAGACTTGAAGTAAACTCCAAACGTATATATATTTACATTTATGTTAAAGAAGGATGCTTTGCAAAAAGTTACTATAGTTGGAGCCTGGGAAAAAAAAGACCTAAACTTTTCACCTCCTTGCCCTAAATGCGAAAGCAACAAGTTGATAAAATATTTTTTGTAATGTTCTTAACTTGACTTATGTTCATTGATAAATTTTAAGTTTCATAGCATAATCTCTCCGCGCGTCAAAAATTATGATCATATACAGTTTGTAACCAACTCAAAATGAGGGGGCTTTAAGTGTTCATAATACTTGAACTTTGAAATGTTATACTATGAAACTTAAAATTTGTTGATAAATATAAATCTATTTGAGAATAGTGCAAAAAATATGTTATCAACTTGTTGCTCTCACGTTTGGATATTGGAAAAAGCATGTTTATTTGATATAAGGATAAATAAATAAATGTTTGGAGTTTGCTCCATATCTGGATGTTAGCTCAAAGACAGAAAATACTGGATCCGCCCCTGGTAGAGTTAATCAAGTTTTTTGTTTGTTGACTCAATAAAAATTATAGATACGTTTTGTGTCGCACATTAGAGTTAAAAACAAATTGTTTGTAAATCAAAGTATAAGTACTTTTGTAGCACATTTTGTGCATGTTTCGATTGTCAACTTAAGAAATCTCTTTAAATCTCTTTATTTAACATTCATTCGTCCAATTCTTGAATTTGCAATTCCAGTTTGATCTCTTTATATGAAAGGAGATTGTAATGCGATTAAAAAATACAACACAGAACAACTAAAATTGTTTGATCAATTAACAGTCTCAAATATGAAGTTCGACTTATTGCTTCACAACCTTAATTGAGAGAAGAAAAAGGGTAGATTTAATAGCATTATAAGGTAATAGCATTTAACAGCATTTAATAGGTAGATTTAATAACATTATAAGGTAATAGCATTAAGGTTAGATTTAATAACATTATACAAGCCTATACACGGTATTGATAAGAAAAACATATAAAAATGTTTTCCAATTGTTAAAAATTTTTTAAAGGGGCATTGCTTTAAATACCACAAAAAATTCGCAAAATATCCTTAAAGGGAACATTTTTTTTTAACAGAATTGCAAATATATGGAACTTACTTACGATTGAAGTTGTTACAGCAAAGTCGGTTAATTATTTTAAAAGAGCTCTTGATTGCTGGCTGAGTAGCAATCAATCATACCTGATGTCACAGTGTGTGCCACTTACTGGATTTGTCCAGTTAATCACTCACTGGATTCGTCACTATTACTGTTACATGTAACAACAAAGTTTAAAAAACTAATTAAGATACAATAAGAAGAAAAATCAAATATTTTATTGCTTTATTTCAAATTTGCATGAAATTGTTTTTAATAGCCTTTTTAAGAATTGCTTTATTCTATTAACTTAAAAAAGTTTTATCACGTTGGGGATCACAACGATGGGGGAAGCCCACTCTACTCCAAAATATAAAATTTATATTTGAAAAACTTTTCGGTCCCCCAGTAAACATTGGTCGCGGTATTGCTGCATATTTTAATCACATGGCCGCGGTATTGCTGCACATTTTAATCACATGGCCGCGGTATTGCTGCACATTTTAATCACATGGGTATTTCAGTATTCAAAATCATTACTTTTATCAAGGTTTTTACAGTTGAACTGAAAAACCTAATAAATTAGTTGGGGGAAAATATGGCTTTTGTACAAAGCATTTATTGATTCTATTTACATTTAGTCTAAGCCAAAAATCCAAGTAAGATCATCATTGTATGAGTTAATGCTGTCAGAGTAAATACCTGAACTAATTTTTGCAAACAGTTTGCTTATGACCTCAATGTTCTTGCAGCATCTTTTGCGAACGGCAAGGTCGGATTTCAAACAAGGTTGTATTTAAACAGTTTTGTTAACTTTCTGTTTCTATATTTGTTCTTATATATGTAATTTGACATAATACAAAAAATTTAATCTCCTATATTAAATACTTTTGTAATCACAAAAAAATTTTGTGAATACAAAAGTATTTAATATTAGAGGGATGAGATATTAAGACAATAATAAGCCAACTTAAGAAAAACTTATCCAGAAGTATCTTTATAATCACAAATGGCCCAAAACTCAATTATCTCCTAAGGATCAGAAGAACTTTCAAATAAATCATTTATGAAGTAAACAATGAGACAATAAGGTTAATCTTTTGGAAGTGGTTTTTAAATTTCTGAGTGTTTTCCATGGTCAATGTGACAGTGGCAGTTGACTAAACAGAACTTTTTATTTTTGATTATTCTTTGAGAAGAGAAGTCTATTGAAAAAGCTTTTTTTCTGTCAGTCTTGTTTCAAGCTTGTTTTCTTGTTTGTTGCTTTATTAAGAAATTTAAGGCATTATAATTAAACGTTCTCAATATTTGGCCTGAAGGATGCTTATTGATGTAAATTTGGCAATCGAAGCAAAAATTTACACATTTAAAAAAATTGACGCAATTCAAACTAAGGCAAAAAACTGACACAATTAAAATGAAATGACGGGAGATTACAGGGGTTCGCTGAAATAATTTGCTGGCAAAGACTTTTATAATAAAAATTTAGTTCTGAAATAAGCTTATGTGGATCAACTTATAAGTTTTAGAAAAGTGCATTTAAATGTTTATACTCTTGAATAATTATTGTCAAACGTGCAGCAAATAGGTAACTGTATCGTCAGGTAACTGTATTGTCAGGTAACTGTATTGTCAGGTAACTGTATTGTCAGGTAACTGTATTGTCAGGTAACTGTATCGTCAGGTAACTGTATTGTCAGGTAACTGTATTGTCAGGTAACTGTATCGTCAGGTAACTGTATTGTCAGGTAACTGTATTATCCTTGAACCGTAACAGAGCTATTAGAGCTTAACTAAAATAGTTTTTAAGAGAAAAGTGAAAACTCTGAAGTTTGTTTTCTAACCTCATTCATCAATGATTAACTGAATAAATTAGAAACAAACGTGATTTGGGTCTTCAAAATCAAATGTTTTTCTTTTGATTTGTGCATAATGAAGGTTTTGGGTTGCTCTTACAAAGCTAAATAGTTAGATTGCATAGTGTGCAGGATGCAGACTCTGCCCCATCAGAGACATCATCAGAGACACCATTAGACTCTGCCCCATCAGAGTTTTTTTAGAGCTTTGGATATTCTTATTTCTATAACAAACGATATAGTTGGCTGTAGCCAGTGAAATACTTTCAGCAAAAACTTTTTTTTTTTCAAACTTTTCAAAAAGAGATTTATTTTTGGATGTTTTTATAAAATACCTTTACTTTTTTTGAAACTTTTGTAAAATTTCGCTTATACTTCGTTTTGGGCAAAGTAAGGGGTCCGATATATATTCAAGAGTCATGAGTTTTATTACTCTTTGGTATTGTATTACATATTGTTTATATATATATATATATATATATATATATATATATATATATATATATATATATATATATATATATATATATATATATATATATATATATATATATAACATTTTTTGTTATTTAACTACAGCATTACTTAGAACCCCCTCAGCGGTTAAATGAAGAGCTAAAAAAGTCTAACATGTCTGTTATGCAGTTCTTCCTTCTCAAACATGGTGAATCTAGAATTGTTGAAATAAAGGAAACCGATGGTGAAAATAATGATATAGCAATTGGTTGCGCTAATGATTTGTCTTCTAAAAAAGTGATCACTGAAGATAACATAGTAAATTAAGAAATTTTTGTATAAGTTTATCTTTATATAAATATTTATCAGGTCGTCAGTTTTTTATATATTTTTTTACATTTAACACTTGCATTTTTAATTCTTAGGTAGAAAAAGTTGAAACTGAATTACTACAGGAGTTAGTTGATGACCAAGTTAACGATGTACTATAAGAAACTTACTATATCGATGACAGCTGCGCAAATCACCCTGAACTGTAACAACATATGAAAAAGAAAAACTAATTTAGAAATAGAATAATTGCACAAATATAAATTCCTTTTTATCTTTTATAATTGAAGTAGAAGCTTGTCGAAAATATTTTTCCTTTCCAACTGAACCATGCATATTCAAGTGATTAAGTTACTTAAATTTTAGTTATTTTATTTGTTTTATTATTTTTAAAGCTTTCATCTTTTTAACGTGTTCTTAAATTTTAGTTTCTTTATTTTGTCTATTTGTTTGTTTAGTAAAGTTCAGTTAACTTTTGGGCATTCATGTCTCAGACATAAATTAACATTTTTCAATATTGACATTTGTTTCTAAAATATGAGATAATTAAATTCAAACTTATACTCGGTATTTTGTCGAAAATGACATCTAGTTTATTTGAAATTTCAAAAGCATTTCATAAGTTCGGTCACCTTAGAAAATATACTTTTTGTTGTCAAAAAAATATTTTTAGAAGAAAAAGAAAAAACTGTTCATTAGATTTTATTATCAAAAACCAAACTATTATAAATTAATTAATTAAATAATTATCATAAACAAATATTAGTCTTAAGAAATATTTTTCAACAAAGTTATTAATAAAAAGCAACACTTTTATTGTTATTAATTTTGCTTTCTTTCCTGCTGATTGAAGTTTTTGTCATTTTGTTACGACGGCCAAAGGAATTGTATATAATTCATAGGTGACCGAATTTATAGTACTTTAAATACTTCACTAATTTACAAACAAAAAGTGGTATATAATTAAAAATAACAACATTTTTTTTTTTTACAAATTATGAACAAAAAGTATTTAATACACCAGCTAAATATGTTCATTATTTAATGCACTGCACATTGTATACTGGGTATTATTAGTTTCGCATTAATCAAATTAGTTTGGTTATTCTAGCAATACTGATGTAAAATTTAATAGTTTCATCCAATACTTTGTTTGTTTTAGATTTCAATATTGTGCATGGTTCTATAGCTTTTGTTTTGCTAATGATTCTAAAGCTTTTGTTTCCACCCATTTTTAAGTTTTGTTGAATTGTTATTTGAAAAGTTATTTTGCTCCATTTGCCATCCTAACCCGTTTTCTCTAAACTTTTTTTTGAAATAACGAAAAATAAAAACTTATTTAGGAATAAAAGTTTTCGAAAAGCCTTTATTCCTAAATAAGTTTTTATTTCAAAGTCTTAATTTCACGGAAAGTTTTATGAAAAGCTCAATGTTTTATGAAAAACATTGAGCTTTTCATAAAACTTTCCGTGAAATTAAGACTTTGCTAGTAGAAATATGAAATATTATATTGATGTCATAAGGACTCAGATGTGGTATGTGTAATGGAAAAACTTTTACTAGAAAAATATAAAAAAAGATTCCAGAAGAAATAAACAACAACTAGTTTTTTTAATTATAGGTAAATTTTTTGGGTTTTGTCGTAAAAAGCCTAAGCTCCTTTCCTTCCCTCGAATTTATTTACACATTTTTTTGAATAAACCCACAGAGTATACAAAATATAAGAAAAGAATCCAAAAGAAAGATCTAAAAACCTATTGTTTTTTTTTAATGTCTTTTGGAGAATCGTTAACTTTCGTAAAAAAGTTTATGGAAAAAAAATGCTTTCTTAAACAAAAAAAACATAGGTTTAGTAAAATGCCTCAGCTTGTTTTAACATTTTTTCTGAAATAACACACAGAATATATAAAAATATAACAAAAGATTCCAATAGAAATCAGTGAAGCCTTGTTTTTATTTTGCTTTTGTCTTATTTTCAAGTTTTTAAAACAAATCGTTTAATTTATATTTCCCATTTATAAACATTTTTTGAAAATTTAAAAAAAGTTAGTATAAACCAATGATTTAATTATTGTGGTAGAAATTTAAGCTCACTCACTTACCAACTTAAATTTTAAAAAACAGTCAAAAAATACTTACACGCATCCCAAGGTGTTTCGTCAATTCCATAACTGAAACTTCTGATGTGAAATGCTTTAGTGCTAAAACAATTCATTCTTTAGAGTTAAAAAAATATTTAAATTTTAGCGAACGACTAGATGGTCAAACGATGGTTGAACGATGGTCGAACGATGGTCGAACGATGGTCGAACGATGGTCGAACACTAAACAATTTAATTAGTATAAATATTTTAAATCCCATTTTATAAAATCTAAAATATTATATAAATGTTTTAAAAGCTATTGCCTGAGAAAAAGCCAAGTATATTGTTTTAAAATTGATGTTTTTTCGATTTCAAACGAATCTTTAATGATATTTTATAAGCCGAAAAGAAAGCAAAGTAATAACAAATGAAACCAACGAAACTTTCGATTGACTAAACATATCAAGTTGTAAGAGTTTGTACAAAAACATTCCGTTTGATATTTCAAATCAGAAGTGCAAAAGTGACAAATTTAGCAAAATAAGTTAAAACATGTTAACATATGTTAAAATCACACAATAATTCTCGGACTGAAAGATGAGGTGGAAAACTACTGAATCCAAAATACAATTAGTATATAGAAAAAGGTTAATGCACATCAAGAAAAGATTCTAATAATTTTCGGAATTTGCTGTCAAACCTAAATTGCAAAAAACCTTTTATAAAAAATATTACTAAATTGCAAAACACCTTTTACAAAAAAAAATCTGGTAACGGAAGTTAAATACCTCTTTTATTATATTATTTTTGTTACTCCCTATGAAAAATATATGTTTGATCGTTATAATATTAGGTTTTCAAAGAACTTAAATTTTATTAAACAATCCTTAATTATTTAAATATTGTACAAGCATGAATATACAAGAATAATCTGATTTTTAAAAGAAAACCAACCAACTAAGCTAAAACAAATCTTCTTCATTCTTCAGCCTTAAAATCCACTTCTCCTAATATACAGGAACTTAAAGAAACGATAATTTATAATTCCGTGAGATTAATTGAAGAAACGATAAAACAATTTATAGTTCCGTGGTATTAATTAAAGGAACGATAAAACGATTTATAATTCCGTGGGATTACTTGATCTTCCTATAAAGAAAATCTTTGTGGTAGACAAGATTTTATTGTATCCCGTACTTAATTTGTTGTCAATCGGCTACTTCTTAGTTAAAACTATAAATACAAGTCGCAATACTAACAGAAAAATTCCTTTTTAGCTTGATATATTGATCCTGAAGCTAGTTATTACAATTATTATAATTATTCATAAAGTTTTGCTTATCAAGGTCATACTTGAACATAATAATATTGGGCTTTAATTTTCAGACAATACACTGTATCTTTAACAGTATTATTTTTAGCATTTTGTACTACTTGGTTGGTCAATAGTTTAAAATTGTAAAGTTCACAGTTATTCAAATTATTTACTATATATAACTTATTGTAGCAGAAAAATCAGTAACACCCATTCCCGTGTGGTATAAATTTTTCATTTTTTAGCCTTTTCTTTTATGGCATGCATGCCAGCTGGTAATAAAGCTCAGACTCCATGCACTTAAGCTTTATTGTCTCTAAGACGTTAACATTAAATGCGGCACAGAGATTTTCACTTTTATTTTGGCCCCAAATATTACACTTTTAAGTTCAAGTTTTAATGCTATTTTCAACTAAAAATAATATTAAAACTAGTGTCAGAAATTTTTTTTAATAAAGTCATGACAACTAAAAAAATAAAAAGTAAAAAAAATGGGTAATAACTGGAAGAAGCATCACTTGAATAGTTCAAAGTTTTATTTGTTGTGATTGGGTTTAGTAATTTATTTATATATTTAATAGTATCTGATTTTTCTCATGTAAATTTAACTACGAAACGTCCTTTGCTAATCATATTTCACCTATTTATCTTATCGGCACTTCAATTTATAATAAAAATACATAGAAACCAACCAACTTTCCAAAGCGATCAGACAAATTTTGACAGTATGTCTGAGTTGACTCTTTAAGTGTAAAAACATGCCAAGTACCTTGTACCATATTTGTACATTTAATTTGTGAAAGGCAAATGAGGTATGGACACATGCAACAATGAAACTGCTTCAAAACTTTAAATTCTAGTAAACTTATCACGCTTGGTACATTTGTAGATCATAACCTTGAAAACATACGCTTACCACTTTTTTACACAACAAAATTTAAGTTACAATAGCAAATAACTCTGTGTACTTAAAATAAAATAAAATATACTTGCTACATCTGTATTCCATGCCATTGATGTACAAAATATAAAATTATATATAAATATATAAAACATATAAACAACTTTTCTAAAAACAATGTTTAATTGATTTAGAAACTTTTTTAAACCTATAGACCGGGTGAATAAAAAAGGAACAATTGCTTTTTTTTATTCACCGGGCTTTATATTTTACTGCTCTTAATCTTACGAAACTTTAGTTTAACGCTTAGTTTAATCTGATTGCGACAAGCACTTTAAAAAACTTCGTTTAACCTTTATAGTAGGCTTTGTTGTCATAATTATCATATTTATGATAAGTGTTTTTGCCGTACGTTGTTGTTTACAACAAGGTAAATTGTGCTTAAATAAAAGAGATCGGAGTTTTTAATTTCCAATTAATTACTTGTTGCCGGAGCAACAAAGTTATCAATTAAAAATTGAGTAGAGTATTTATAAAAGATTTCTTTAAAGTAAGACTGAAATAATCTAGAAAAAAATCCATGTTATGTTTTAAACATAAATGGTAAAACTCAGTGTATATTAAATTTACATACTTTCAAGACTACGTTCCATTTAAAAAGATTCGCAATTAACAGTTCTATGTGCACCAAATATAACTCTGCAGTCTTATTTTACTATAAATTTAAAAACATTTTTTTTACCATAACTAATGCTACTCCATACAAAACTACAGTAAGAGATAAAACTGTGAATAAAGTATTTTTTTTCAAAGATACAATATTAAAAAATGGTTTAGTTTCAATATATTTAATATGAAATTTCCACGTTAAATTTTCTTCTAAAATTATTTCAAAAATTTATTAATCCATTTATCAATTGTTTTATTCATTAAGATATTAGATTATATAAGAAAAATACGATCAACATTAAAAGGTTTTTAAAATTAAATAAATTTAGTTTTCCTTACATTCAATTTAAGTTTATTACTTATAAACCACTCATTTATTTTGAACAATTCTTGATAAAAAAATTTTATGCATTTGCTAGAATAAAAAAGATTGGAGTGGTCTGCAAACAACATAACTTTCAAAACATTTGGTGCTAAGTATAAGTAATTTATATACAATAAAAATAGTAGTGGTCCTGAGATTGATCCTTGGGACGCATCGTAAGTTATTTATGTTTAATTTTTTTTTGTATAAACTTTGTATTGTGTCCTGTTTGGCAGGTAATCTCAAACCTAAAGTAAGGTTTTTTTACTCCAAAAAACTTTTGTTTATGATAATGAATTTATATTACTCTTCATAGAATATAAAATAATTTTTATTTTAAGTTAATTTATAAGTAACTTATGGTTGATTGTATCAAAGACTTCTGCCAGAGCGGTAATTTCCTAATGTAAAATAGTTATTATTGAATGTATTTGCTATATGATTATTTATTTCAATTACTATATGAATTATATTTTCAAAACCAAGTTTAAATTAGAATATTATTTCTCTTGTTTCACTAATGATTTGTTAACCGTTGTAACAGAAAGGTTCTAGCGTTGAGACAAAGGCTATTTCTCTTGACATATCAAAAGCTTTCAATAAAGTATGGCATGCTGATCCATACGTTTGCTCCATGTGGTGTATCCGGAAATTTTTAAAATTATTGAGCCATTTCTTTCTGATTATATCATTAAAGTTGTACTTGAAGGAAATCATTTTCCTTTATTTCTAGAAGGTTTTTGAATATCATAAAGTTTCATCCGTCAAGCAATATCCATGTGTTATTCTTCAATAATGTTATGAAAACATCACT